TTCAACGTTTATTTATTTTTGGGACAGAGAGAGACAGAGCATGAACGGGGGAGGGGCAGAGAGAGAGGGAGACACAGAATCGGAAACAGGCTCCAGGCTCTGAGCCATCAGCCCAGAGCCTGATGCGGGGCTCGAACTCACGGACCGCAAGATCGTGACCTGGCTGAAGTCGGACGCTTAACCGACTGCGCCACCCAGGCGCCCCAGGGGGAAAATTGTATTCTTAATAGACATTGTGAAGGAGGCAGGAGACTCAGTGTGAGGGCAGACAATAATGTGCAAGATTTTGGATACAATGAACTTGAATGATAGTAAGATTGTGCGCTGTGGTCAATGTCTCAAGGAAGGAGGTTGGGTCCTAGAGTTTGGTTCTATGCTTGGTTTAAATGGCATGTTCTCATTATTTGACTCAGGAACCAAGCACTTCATTAGAAAGGTACTTTGGCATGTGCTAAAACTTTAAGAGGAATCAGTACTTCATAAATCTTTAAGAGAAGTCAGTACTTGATCAACAATTGTTAATGAGTGTTATAGTTAATAAACTTCCACATTGAATCAGAGAGGGAATTGGGGCTAGAACTCAAGTGTTCTACCCTCTAGCCCAATAAAATATCTTGGAAGATTTTAGTAATTTATAGAACTGCATGGTTGGTAACATCTTAAAGGTCATCTAGTCTAGTCATCAACCTGAAGCTGAAATTCCTCCAAATTATCCCTAATTTATGATTATCTAGGTTATGTTAGAAACCTTGTGATATGGGAACTTAAGGCAACTCATTTTACCTTTGGATGGCTCTGATCGACATTTGTCTCCATATCATTTTAACTCTTTTCTCCTTGAAGGTTTACAAATCAAGCAAATCAGGTATGACTTTCAGTCCGTAATCCTTGTGAGCAAGAAATGTGTGCTTTTTTTTTTTCCCTTAAGATAACTGAAATTCCCTTCAACTGGTGAACTGGTGGGAAATTCAAGCTCAGTCACTACTTTTTAACCCTCCAGCAAGTTGCATAAAGATCTTAAAGTCTGAAATGGTGCATTCATTTACTTCAGGTGTGGGGGCTGTGTTGCCTTGTGGAGTCCTGAGAGCCCCAGTGCAGAGTGTCCAGACTCCCCTTTACTCTACCCTGCTTTCTCCTCTGGAAAACTTGCTGAATTTGTTTAATGATTTTTGTTTTTACAAATGTCCAGAGGAATCACTAGCTTCAAGTAGCTTTATTTACTTATTTATTTTATTTTAAATGTATTTATTTAAATTCTAGTTAACATACAGTGTAGTATTGGTTTCAGGAGTAGAATCCAGTGATTCATCATTTCCATATAACACCCAGTGCTTCTCCCAACAAATGCCCTCCTTAATGCCCATCACCCATTCAGCCCATCCCCCTACGCACCCCCCCCCCCCCACTCCAGCAACTCTCAGTTTGTTCTCTGTATTTAAGAGTCTCCCATGGTTTGCCTCCCTCTCTGTTTGTATCTGATTTTTCCTTCCCTTCCCTATGTTCATCTGTTGTGTTTCTTAAATTCCACATATGAGTGAAATCATATGGTATTTGTCTTTCTCTGCCTGACTTATTTTGCTTTGCATAATACAGTCTAGTTCAAGTAACTTTAATTCTCTGCTCTGTGTAAGTTGCTGAGGCAAAGAATACCAATGGCTTGGTGATGTGTTTGAAATGGGAAAGGAAAGATTGAGAAAGAACAAACATAAAATAATGTTTCAGTAAATAGTCCTGCCACACAAATTTAAGCCTTGTTGCCCATCGTAGTCCTTGGAGTCTTTGATGATTCTCCTACAATTTATCTGAGATACATTGCATGATACAACTTTCCAATACATTCCATAGTAAAGCTATCACCTCCTGATTTAGGATGGTTTGTGGGGTTGTAGGTACACATATGTTTACTACTTATCTCTTTTACTCAGACCAATAATTAAATTGCTGATTGTTCCCAGCTAAATAATGGTTAGAGCTGGCCCATGAGAGTATTGACAGTTGAAGATTAGCTCATTCGATTTATGGATTCACCACAGATAAACCAAATGCCCCATCTGTGAATAACAGAGATTTTAATGAAGGTGTATTTTAACAATGGCCTTCCTTATTTTGTCTTCAAAGAACAATGGAATTACAAGGTGGCTACTGATTTGTGGGATTTTAACTCTTCTACATGAATATGAATTTACAAAGGTATCATTTTTTCACAGATAATGAGTGTGTATATGGCAGCTACCCTGAAATTCCTTTGGAAGAAATGCCAGATGCAGATGGAGTAGCCAGCACTCCCTCCCTCAATATTCAAGAGCCATGCTCTCCAGCCACATCCAGCGAAGCGTTCACTCCAAAGGAGGGCTCTCCGTACAAAGCCCCCATCTACATCCCTGATGATATCCCCATTCCTGCTGAATTTGAACTTCGAGAGTCAAATATGCCTGGAGCTGGACTAGGAATATGGACCAAAAGGAAGATTGAAGCAGGTGAAAAGTTTGGGCCTTATGTGGGAGAGCAGCGGTCAAACCTGAAAGACCCCAGCTACGGATGGGAGGTAAGAATATATTTTGAGTTTACACATTTAAGTATTTTCAGATATGTGAAGAAAAGATTAATTTTTAAAGTGACCATAAAGTAAGCAAATTCCAATTGTTGTACAATGTCTTCAAATAGATATTTAAGAATGAACCTCCCTCATAAGCTCACTTCTTGATAGAAACAAACTGTTGCACTAAGGTATAGCATGATAGAAAGGAACTCAACTAATGGATGGTAAAGAATAGTATCAACCTAAAAACATACCAAAGGGAACAAATACAGTTTTTATAGTTAACATTTAGAAGCATTGTATGTGGCCATTCATATAGTATGTGGCATAAGCAAACAACTGTCATCATATGACGAATTTATTGTATTTTATCTTTCCTTTGAGGGCGAGGCTTGGAAGATTGGAGGAAACATTTGTTTTCTCCATTTTGTGGCTGAGTTAGTTTGGTTTTACTTTGATTCTACATGGTCATTTTGCTTTGTGTTCTAATATGTTTTGTCACTCTTGTGATAACCCTCCATTTTCTACCTGCTTCCAGAATGTGAGCACTGTGCTGAATTCTGTGATGGTTTTTTATATTCAAATTTACCTAATGAATACTTCATGCATAAAAATGACAGCAAAAATCAATATGGAAATCAGTTGCCAGTCTTAGCCATGATTTTTACAAAACCATCTTGGTAATATCTAGGAATGAGAAGTTACAGTCTGATTACTAAGTAAATTTTATTTCAATAAGAACAGGTAACTATGTTACTCTGAGCTTATAATTTTTATATAGATTCTGGGGCTATATATACTTCCTATTTATTTTTATAACTTGAAAACTTTTGTGGTTAAATAATAACATCATAATTTCTGGAAAAACTGGTCTGTATTTGCAAAATGTGTAGGCAATTTCTATATTAGTAAGAAAGTGTTTTTTTGGAGATGTAATTGACCTTTAGTTTCATTCATAGTATTTCAGGTAGACAGAAATCAGATAAGCTAGATTTATTTTGTATTTTCTCTTAATATTTATGATCATTAATAGAATATATGGTCAACATTTTAAATAGAAATAAATATGTAGTGCCTTCAGGACTTAATTTCAAATTTTTGTTCCTTTGGTTTATATGTATCCTCTTATGAAATCTGCTCAAAATGCCTTAATCAAAACAATTCTTGTCCAAATTCTAAAATCCCAAAAGTTAAGATCTGGATTTGACATGATTACAAGTGAGAAATCCTTCCTTAGTTTTGTTCTTAGCCACGGCTCGGGGAAAGTTGTGGTTTGGCTACATTGCTTTTAGACACATATATTGATAAGAGGTTTTTAAAAAATCACTGTAGCATTAACTGATATGTGAGTTGAATTCGTTTTAAACTAAATGCGTAGAACTTTACGTCATTTTTGTTCTCCTTAAAATAAAGGCTATAAACATTCTAATAATAAGTAACTCATTAAACTTTTATTACAAAATCTCCAGAGCTAAACAACAAGTTCTGCACTGCTCGAGATTATCCAGAAGGCTTGGAATAAACCAAGGCTTAATAACAAAATAATTTTGCAGTTACAGGGTTGATAAATGTAGGACTGTGTCTCTTTAAACAGGGTATCTATGTATTGGGGGATGAGTCTGGGGAAAATTCTTCATTTAGAGGAAATTTAAAAATAATTATTTTTCTCCTTGGAGTAGAATGTCTTCAGTATATACACAGGAAAATACTTTGAGAAATGTAAAATGATTCTTTTCATTATGTCAAAACTGAGTTGTTTTATTGCTTGGAAGTCAAGTTAACCTCTATAAATAGTTCATGACTCTTTGGCTAAAGATCGCCCATTCCCTCTCTCTCATTCGAGAATTCAACTGATGGTCAATTCGGTAGTTTTCTTCACCATTTTAATGGTTGCTCTCACTTTGGAGAGTGTGGATTACCTGCTCTGGATGTGTTATGAACAAAACCAGAGAAAGGGCTTTTTTGGTGATTTTGGCAATCTTGTTATCCATGGAGGAGCACTTGAGCTCTTGACTCCAGGTTGTTTTTTTTTTTTTCCTCCTTCTAATCTTACCCTAGTTAATACAAAACCCAGTCATGATCAACAAAGGCACTTTCACAAAGGCATCTTGCCCTACTCCTGCGTGCTTATTTTTAATCATTCTCCTGTCATATTTGTCCTGAACTGTAGCTGATTTCTGTACTGTTTGGTTAGAGAGATAATTGTGATCAACTAGTGTGACCTCGTGTTTTGATACTCCTTCATTTTTAAAAATGATCAATTTAAGGAGAAAAAAAACCTCTTAGGGCAAGGAAAATGCACACGAAGAGAGGAAATCCATATTCAGGAAAACAATTATTGAGTGCAAAGCATTCATCAGATACAGAAACTCAGCCTATCGTAACTGAACAAATCATTGTTATCTCCAGTACTATCCTCGCTCTTTGCTACTTACAAACCTCCCCTCCTTGTGCATTTCCTGTATAATAAATTGTATTACTGTCTGTCCAGTTGCTGAAGCCAAAAAATGGGTTATCTTTGACTCTACTGCCTTCCATACCAACCCTGTATGATTTGTAGTTCCCATGTTCTATCAGGCCTCCATTCTTTGCTCACACTGGTCTTCCCACATGAGAACCATATTTTCCTTCCCATCCTTATCAGGTATCTATTCATTCTTCAAGTCCATTTCTTCCATGATATTATCCTTGACCTTTCTAGTCACAATTTAGTACTGCTTGAATTTTGCCTCACCATAGCACCAGGTAAATTCATGAATTAAGGAACTTAAAGCATTGTACAACATCCAAATTATTTGCCTAATTTCCCTAATAGAGCAAAGTATCCATAGCTGTATCCTCTAAGTATAATGTCTTGATTGTGTTTTATCTGTGGTGTCTGTGGTGCTATCTAATGCCAAGTACCTTACCTGAAATAACTAGATTGGATTAGTTCCTTCAGGCTGCTATAACAAAATACTACTGACTGGGTGGCTTAAATAACAGAAATTTATTTCCTCATAATTCTGGAGGCTAGAAGTCCAAGATCAAGGTTCCAGGTGATTTGGCTTCTGATGGGGACTCTCTTGCTGGCTTGCAGTTGGCCACCTTCTTGCTATGTCTTCACATGGCCACTTCTAGGTGCATGTGTGTGCTTATGCTCACACACACACACCCACACACACACAAACACAGACACACACATACACACAGCTTTAGGGGAGGAGAAAAGTGCCCTGGTGTTTCTTCTTATAAGGACACTGATCCTACTGGATCAGGCCCCACCCTTATGACCTCATTTAACCTTAATTACCACCTAAAGTCCTTAGATATCTCCAAATATAATCACGTCGGGAGTTAGGGCTTCAACATATGGATTTGGGGAGGATTCAAACATTCAGTCCATAACACAGACATTTAATAATTGGAAAAATAATGAGTGCAAGAATGAAAGAGCAAATGAAAGAATGATGAAGGGATATAGGATTATGTGACTCATAAGAAGAGATAAGGAGTGGGGGGTGAGGTAGGTCCATGGAAACAGCTAGAATCTGGATTTTAGACATGAAGAATCAAGTCTTAACTCTGCCACTATTGTGCAATTCTAGGGAAACTACTTAAATTAATTGGTTCTTGTATTTTTATTTGAGCAATGAGCCAATAATAACTGCCTCACACCATTACTTGTTATATAATTAAAATTAAATGAAGAAATATGGTAGTCTTCACAAAGAAAGTTTTTATAAGAGAAAGCTCAAAGATAATGTTGCAAGTAGTGACCGCCTTTCTGAACTCTATTTAAATAGTTTTTAAAAAGTTAAATACATTTCCCGAAAAAAGGCACTTTTGGAAAATCATTTGAATTTGTATTTTAGAGAAATAGGGCATTTTTGAAAGTGTGGCTTATAGACCAAAATACATAGGTAAAATAAGCCATAGACATCAAAAACATTATTTGTATGATTTCTCTCAAACCAGTGCTTATTTAATAAAGGAAACTCTAAATTAAAAAAAATTTAATGTTTATTTATTTTTGAGAGAGTGAGAGAGTGTGAGTGGGGAAAGGACAGAGAGAGAGAGGGGGACACAGAATCCGAAGCAGGTTCCAGTCTCCAAGCTGTCAGCACAGAGCCTGACACGGGGCTCGAAATCACCAACCATGAGATCATGACCTGACAGAGTCTGACATGGGGCTCGAACTCATGAACCATGAGATCATGACCTGAGCTGAAGTCAGATGCTCAACCAATTGGGGTGCCACTCAGGCACCCCAATAAAGAGAAACTTTAAAAATAATGTTAGAGTCTGCCAGTGATTGCCATCTTGCAATGCATAGGACTCGTCTCTAACAAAAAAATTTTGAAGACTGGGGAGCAGTCGATTATATCTAGGACCTAAAAGTAATTAGTGATAGGACACTTTCTCTTAGGTTAAGAACTTTAGAGTTGCTGACTGAGTGAATACTAATAAAAAAATTCTATTGGTTCAAGATGAGTGTTTTCTCTTACGTTTTCTTCTAAAGATGATCATTATGTGATAACATGGAAGTTGCATGGCAGAGGGGAGGGCAACAAGATTTTGGATTGAGACTTTCCAGACTTACGTCCTCTTTGAGGCTCTGTGTGCTAGCTGCGTGATTTGGGAAAAGTGACTTAATTTGGTGCCCCTCAATTTACATATATGTGACATGGTGATAATAATTGTACCTATCCAATCAGGGTTGCCGTGAGAATAAAATGTGACATTGGATGTTAAAAGCCTACCAAAGAGCCTCTCACCTGGTAGAAGAGAGGTAAACAGCAACAGCAAAAGCTTGGCTAAAATACAGATCTGGCACAGGGTCATTAGATAGGGCAAAGGCCAACTATATTTCATTTATTAAGATTTCTAAATTTTCGCTCTGACTCTAACTTCTTGTTTCCTTGAAGTTCAGTTATCTCTGGGAGGGTCTGATTACGTGACTCTGGGTTTATTTAAAAAAGGATGCCCTGGTTGTTTTCTATTTAACAACTAAAACAAGGATTTGG